CTGTGCATAGAGACATCCACATCAAAGACTGCCTCAAGTGTCGACATCGCAACCGACTCGACTTTGAACCTGCGTCGGAACTACACAAACCACAATCGAAAGCAGCACCATCTCGCAAGTGTATGTATTGGAGCACAGATGAGAGCGAACCGAATTACTCAGGTGAGCGTCACGCGAGAGTGTCGGCGAGACGTTTTGCTTTAAAGTCGACGAGCACGCGGTGCATGCGGCTGAGGCTGCCGTGCAGTTCGGCGAGCTGGTGCACTCGGTCGGCCAGGTCGGCGTAGCTGAGCGGACGATCGCTGGCGACTGCGCGCGACCGAGCCCTCTCGTCCACATTCGAAGCGTCAGCGGCTGCAGCCACGCCGGGCGGCTGAGCTCGCCAAGCGATGTTGTCCGGCGACTCGCTCCTGCTCGCTTCGCGCAGCAGCGTCTCGAGCTCAGCCCCGGCCGCGCGAGCGCCGCCTTCAGCCGAAATCGACCCCTTCGTCGCTCGAGGCTGGCCAGCCTCGTCGTCTGAGGACCTCATCTCGCCTTCCTCGGGCGACTCTTCACCGTCCTCTCGCGGCTCTCTCCGTCGAGATGCCAGACTCTCCCGCCGTTGCGGGCCCGCTGCGTTGTGCGCAGTATTAACGCTCGTCTCTCTCTCGGCATCAAGCATGTCTACGTCGAGCTCGTCGCTCTCGCCAGTCGAGCCGTGGCGCGTCATCTTGGAGACAGAGTGAGCATGCGGCGAGAAGAGGAGGCTCTGGTGTGCAGACGTCTGCGAACGCAGTCCCATCGGCTGCGAAGCCGCTTGTTCCTCGGCCGACGCAAGCTCAAGCTCCCGGTCCAGCCTTTCGCTCTCGGCCTCGAGCTGTCCGCGCGAAGCAAGGTACTCTTGCTGGGTCTTGGCGAACCGCTGTGCCAGACGATGCCAGTCCGCTCGAGACCGAACGTCCAGCCACGGCTCTGACCAGTGAGCCGCACCGGGTCCGACGCCTTTGATCGACCTCTCGCCAGAGCCGGACGGCGACTTGACCGCATTCGATCCATTAGATGGTCCGCGCGACGACGAGCCATGCGCATCAGGAGCCCCGCTCCTGCCTCTACTTTTTTCTTCCGTCTCGCGGTAGTAGCTCTTGCCGCGATCGCGACTTGCATCCGTCCCGCGGTCATGCTCATCAGACCCGCGATCCCGACGCCTGTCCCGGTAGTCGTCCACCTTGGCGTTTCGAGAATTTCTTTCGCCTGCCTCTGGTACGGATCGCAACCGGTGGCCGACCGAGGCGAACGACGGCATGGATGCGGATGGCGGGACATGTTCGCGGATCGAGGTTTGGCCCGTCGAGGCCTCAGTGGGTCGGACGGAGGGCGTCGCGCTCTCGTCCCGCCGCCGGATCATGTCAATATCGGCTCGACGCGACATAGGCTCGGGCGACGCTGAAAGCCTACGCTCGCGATACCGCGTTGGCTGGTCGCTGGGCGGGGCAAAGTCGTTGGTACGGCGACGCTTGCGCTGCGCTGCATCGGGCGATTCGTCGACCCTTTTCTTCGTATTCGCCTGCTTGGAGGGTGGTGAGGAGGATGGTCCAGCCCTGGTGTCGATCTCGGTTTGGGTACGAGAATCCGATCTTGCCCGCGGGCGTTGCTCGCGCACCGACTCGATGGCCGGTGCCGCAGCCTTGGCACTTGAGCCAGTCTGACTGGTAGCCCTGGGACTGCCGCTTTTCGGATCGTCGACAGGGGGCGGTCTTGCTCTCCGCATTGTGACGACGGGGACGGCCGCGCGTGCGACCTTCTCCGGCGACCTACTAGTGGCCGCTCCTGCCTTGACACTTGTTGTAGTGGCGCCGGGTCGCTCCGTCTTGAAGCTGATGCTGCTCTGCTCGACGGAGGTTGTCCGTTCTCTCTTGGGAGGCTCCTTTGCAGACTCTTGGAGGGCTGTACGTTTAGAGCTGGTCTCGGTTTTCTGGGCTGCCTCTGCCCTGCTTCTGGACGATGAGGCGATTTCTTTGGTCTTTGCTAGATATGTCGCCGTCTGGCTGCGGTCCTGTCTTGCCGCCTCTTGGCGGTCCGACCCCATTTTTGTGGCAGACGCGTTGACGACGGACTCTTTCGGCTTAGTGGCCCTTTGTGATGGTTCTGACTTTGGTACCGTTGATAGGACGTGGTCGATAGGAGTCGATCGGCTACTTTGAGCAGAAGACTGTGTGCTAGGTGCGACCGAGGCGGACGTGCGAGCAAATGTCGAAGGAGTTGCGCGGAGTTCTGGGGTTGGCTTTCGCTCGGACATGGCCAGGAGGCGACTGCCTGCCTTTGTCGCCTTGGCTAAGCGTTGGCGCGTGGTGAGCTTTGAGCTCTTTTTGGCAGCACCGCCAGCTACGTCGGAGCTGACCGAGGCCGGAGATGATGTCAGGTCGGCTCGCCTCGCTTGACCATCGTCGGAGACATGCCCCTCTTCCTGTGTCGAAAGACTGCTCCCGCCTGTGCCTGACGACCTATGACTCGAAGAGTGAGCGGCGGATGAACTGCGCATCTGAGCTACGCTCGAGGTTTGCGGCGAATCAGTGGTTGCTCTTGCGGTGCGGCTGACCGAGAGTCCTGACTCGTACGAAGCACCCTGCACCTTGGGGTGAGTCGTAGTGGGAAGGCTGGAGCGTGCGCCTGGGGACACTTCGCGGCTCTGTGCTCTGGAGACGGCGGCTGGCGGGAGGAGGCCGGTCTGTCGGCGTTGGGCGGTGACGTTGGTCAGACTGCTCGACCTCGACAGGGGCGAGGATGAGAAGAATGCCGAGCTAGAGGAGGCACGGGCGGCGGCCAGCGTCTTGTTTGCGCTTGACTTCGAATTCGATGATGCGACGGACAAGTTCGGGGAGGAGCCCTGAATGAGAGCTTGTCGACGCTGTTCTTTGCGCAGTTCCTCCTCCTCCTTTTGCTGTTTAAGGCGCTGGGCGACTGCCGAGACATCGCGCGTGGGCTTGACCGAGAGCTTGGCTGCGATGGTGCCGACGCGCGTGAGCGTCGACTCGTCGTGGGAAAGCCGATAGAGCTCGTGCGGGGCAGCCGATGAGGGTGCTGGACTGAAGCCATGAGCTGGCGGACGCGACTGCGAGGAGGCGGCTGGCACCGAGGCATGGAGCGGAATGCTCACACTGCCCACGACGAGCTCGGGCTCCGCGGCATCGAAGTTGAGGCGAATCTGAGACTTGGCGGACCCAGACGAGGTGTAGGCGCTGGCGAGCTGCTGAAGAGCCTGCTCCGTCAGACGGATCTGGAGCACTTTTGGCGGCGAAGATGGCCCGTGGTCCTTGCTCTTATCATCGGCTGGGGCCGACGATGGGCGCTCGCCCAGATCGACGCGGTAGACCGAGTCGGAACGAAGCGACATGCTGAGGTTCAGCCCGTCGGGTTCGAGCTGTTCCAGGCCCTCGCCCCACGCCCAAGCTCGCCTGCGAGTAGAGGGTGCAGGTGCAATGCGCTTGTCGTGAACCGATGCTGCGGTCGTCTACGGCGAAGGGTATCGCAAGTATTGTTGATGAATGCAAGAACGGAGACAGGCTTCAAGGGCGGCTTTGGAAGCTCAAGGCGGCGGCTGCGGTCCAGGGTCCAAATCTGGCTGGTCTCTGTTGCGGTTGGCTCTCTGGAGAGCACACTGCGGTGAGCTGCCTGGTCCGTGACCTTACGGAGGGGCGGTCGGCAAATCCGACATGCACATGCAGCAGCAGCTGCCCTGGCAGCCGCGCCAGGTTCAACGCTCCAACCGACGTCGGAAGGTTGCACTCAAATGACACAGGCACGGGAAGAGCGCTTGGCAGAGTGGAGGTGGGTTCCGAAAAATCAAGAAAAGTCGCGGGCTAGTCTCGGACGAGAGAACGTGTCAAGGATCGGCAATCTGGCGAAGGGCTCCGGAAAGGCCGATGCAACACGAACCGAACTCTACGCCGCAACAGGCGCGGCGCGTGTCGAGACATTACGTTCGCACTCACCACTCGGTCCCATATCGACTCGGCAGCTGTCACTCGGCCATTCCGCGAGGCTCGATCGTCGGAACACCACCGAAAGCTAGCGTGAGACGCTGCTCTCTCGTGGCCGACCGCGCCATCCGCAATCACCATGGCGTTGAGGCGCGGCAAGGATCGCGTCGCCAACGCAGGGTCCGAAGGTACGTTGACGCGCTGCGACTGGCTGTCGTCACGCTCGTATGCTGACTTTTCTTCGGACATGTGCGCTTCACAGAGCTTCAGCTGTGGTATGCGGTGCGCCAGAATCTACGCACGCTCGAAAAGATCCGCATCGCGTCGGTAGACAAGGCGGCGGCGGCCGAGTCTCATCGCACCGACCTCATCGCGCTGCGCGAGAAGAAGGATACTGGCGACGAGTACCGTACCAAGCGGCGCAAGCTGGACGATGTCTGCCATGACCTGACCAGCCGCACCAAGGACGAGCTGGCAGCCATCGAGTCGGCGCAGGAGAAACTTGGCATCCTGGTTGCGCTGCGCAGTTCCGCAGACGGCGCAGGTTCGCGCAGCTCGACACCGCGCAAGGACCTAGCGTCTAAACTCAAGTCTGGCGGGGCAGGCGCTTCGACCCCCACGGGTCGACGTGGAGGCCCTCTGGGTCCATCCAACCTTGGTACCTCGTCTACCAACCGCGGGCGAAGAGAGACGCTTACAGCACAGCACCCTCTCACCCCCGGTCGCAAAGTCGCCGTACTACCCACAAAGACCGAAGAGTCAGACTGGCTCAAAGCGTCTGTCCTCTCGTTCTCCAAATCGTCCAACGAATACAGCGTTCAGGACGACGACGAACCGGGACCAGAGGGAACCTACAAGGTGGGCATGCAGAACATCATCCCCCTCCCCATCAGTCTGCAGACTTTGCCTGCGTCCGACTTCACGCCAGGCACTCGCGTGCTGGGTATGTATCCAGACACAAGTTGCTTCTACGGCGCCTTTGTAAGATCCGGCGGCCCGGGTCTGACGCGCAACGCCAACCTGGTCAAACTCGCCAAGCGCGAAGCCGAACTCCTCGAGACCAAATACAACCTCGAGTTCGACGACGACAATGGAGAGATCCGCCAGGTCCCCGCCTGGCTCGTCGTCCAAGAACCCGCGTAACGCCAGCATCATCCCCACAACGACGTTGATGAAAAACGGCGCTTGTACTTGTACCGACTGTAATTCTATCCCCATTCAGACATCGATTGCCTTGCCATTGGCGGCTGCGTCTCATTCCGCCGCTGATCTCACATCGTGTTGGCGTCGAAGCAAGGCAGGTGACTGTGCTGGATAACATTCGCTTTGATGGCAATCAAGCGCGCCTTTGGGAGTGATGAACTGCCTAGACCTCCTCGGAGGCCACTTGCTGATAGCCTGCTGCGGGAACTGGACGCCTGCCACCCATGGATGCGCCTCCGAGCCGGAGCCCCGAACTCGAAAGAGCTGACTCGAGCTTGCCAATGAGCTGGTAGCCAACGTCCTTGAGATTGGCAACCACGCGATCCAATGCACCCGCATCAGAGCGGTCGAGTAGCTCCTGCAGCTGCAGCGTCTCGACGACGGGCGTGCCCGATGCCATGTCACCACTGACTGCCGGAGTCAGCTCCGCGGGGCGCCTGTACCACTTGAGCGTGAGCGAGCTGGCCACGACGCTGACGCTCGAAAATGCCATGGCCGCGCCAGCCATCATGGGGTGCAGGCTCAGACCCCAAGGCAGGAAGATGCCCATGGCGAGTGGGATGCCGATCATGTTGTACACGGTCGCCCACACAAAGTTGAGCTTGATCTGTCGAAAGATGCGGCGCGAGAGATGGATCGACGCCGCCACGTCGAGCAGGTTCGACCGCATGAGCACGATCGATGCCGCCTCGATCGCAACGTCCGAGCCCGTGCCGAGTGCGATACCGAGATCGGCAGACGCCAGCGCAGGCGAGTCGTTCACGCCGTCGCCCACCATGGCAATTCCGCCGGACTTGGAGCGGCCGTTGGCACGGAAAGGCGAGAAGCGGCCGCCGCTCTCGAGATCGCCGCCACCAGACGCACGACGAAGCTCCAGTACGAGCTCCTGTTTGTCGATCGGACTCATCTCGGCGTACACGTCGGTCTCCTCGTCCATGCCCAGCTCGCGAGCTAGAGCGCGCGCCGTGTTCTGAGAGTCGCCCGTCACCATCCCGCACTGAATGCCCATGCGTCGCAAGGCCGCCAAGGTGCGCTTGGCTTCTGGCTTCAGCGTATCGCTCAAGCTCAGCACGGCCGCGAGCGAACCATCGACACTGGCAAGGACGGCAGTTCGACCGTACGACTGCTGTTCGGCAAGCAGCCCCTCTGCTTGCGATGCAAATGCAGAGTGATCGAGAGAGTGCTTTTCCTGCGACGTGATGAAGTCGGCAGTTCCGATGCGTACTTCATGCACAGTCATCGTCTCCTCGAGCTGGATTCGACAGGCAATGCCCTTACCGGTGAAGCTCTGGAAGCTCTCGATGTTGGCACCAGGAACAGCGGTCGTGGCGTCCGTGGCCGGAGCGACCGACTCGGAAATTAGCTGCTGAGCGGCCCACATCGCGATGGCGCGCGCCAGGGGATGCTCCGATCGAGCTTCGGCTGCTCCGACCATGCGTATCACCTGCCGTCGCGACAGGCCGCCCACAGCAATGGTGTCGAGACCAACCTGCTCGTTGCCCGGCCAAATGGCTTCGCGTAGCGTAAGCTTTCCTTCGGTGAGAGTGCCTGTCTTATCGAAGAGCATGCGACGGATGGTCGTGGAAGCCTCGAGAGGACCACCGCCCTTGATCAAGATGCCGTTTTGGGCACCCACGCCCGTGCCCACCATCACCGCGGTGGGCGTCGAGAGGCCGAGCGCGCAGGGGCAAGCCACAACGATGACGCTGATGCACAGTTTGAGGCAGACCATGAACTTGGTCACGCCCTGCTGGTTGAATATAGACGGAAGCACGTGGCCCGAGAGGAGGTGTGCAATCACCATCCACGCCACAAAAGTGAGCGCTCCAAGGCCCACCACCGTCGGCACAAAGTATCCAGCGACGCGGTCTGCGAAAGCTTGGATGGGCGCCTTGGACGTCTGCGCTTCGTCGACGAGCTTGACGATCTGCGCCAGACTCGTGTCTTTGCCGGCACGCTGAACGAGGAAGTCGAACGTGCCAGTGCCGTTGACGGTGCCTCCGATGACGCCGCTGCCGACTTCTTTGTGGATCGGGATCGCCTCGCCCGTGACCATGGATTCGTCCACCGTCGACTCTCCGCGCACAATCACACCATCCGCAACGATTCTCTCTCCGGGCACCACCTTGACGTAATCGCCGCGCTGGACGAGCTCGGATGCGACCTTCTTCTCGCTCTTTCCCTCGGCGCCATCCATATAGATGGTGGCTGACGACGGTGTGAGGCCGATGAGACGTGACAAGGCTTCACTCGTCTTGCCTTTCGCGGTGTTCTCGAGGAAGCGGCCGAAGGAGACGAAGGTGAAGAGCATGGTGCTGGTATCGAAGAAAGTGGCGGGTTTCGTGCACTGACCCGGTGCAGCCATGGGCATCGAGCCCATGGCGCGCGCCATCACGGATGCGGCTGAGGTAGCCTGCGGTGGGGCATCAATGCAAAAGAGCCTCGCAACCATAGAGAAGACGCTGAAGACCCATGAAGCAGTGGTGCCGATGACGATGAGCACGTCCATGGTGGCACTGCCGTGCTTGACGGCTTTCCAAGAGGTGCGGTAGAACCTCAAGCCAATGCCGAATTGGACCGGAATTGTGAGCGCGAGGCAGACAATGTCCTGAAGGTAGAGGCCGGAGATGGGTTGCCACCAGAGGATGGCGCGAGTGAAGCTGAACTTGGGCAGTACCATGGACAGCAGGAAGACGGGCACGCCCATGGACAAGGAGAAGAGGAAGGCGGAGCGCCACTCGGCGATCTCCTTGATCCTGCCCAGCGATGCGAGCTGTGTCGAGTTGCGGTCATCGCTGACGACGGCGTCGAAGCCAAGGTCCTCGACATGTTCGACGAGGTCTCGGATGCCGAGCTTGGCTGGATCGTAGTCGATCCTGGCTTTTTCGGTCGCGAGCGACACCGAGATGGACTTGATGCCGTCGATCTTGGCCAGCTCGCGCTCGATTGTAGATGAGCACGAAGCGCAGGTCATGCCGTAGACGCTGAGCTGAGCGGTATCGAGCTTCGATGTTTGAGTGCTCGCGGCGTCGAAAGCGCCGAGCTTTTCTTGTGCGTCGATGTTTGCACTCTCGGTCCTGATGACTTCAATGAAGGTTGCGTCGAAGCCAGTATCCTCGATCTCTTCGGCGACCTTTTCTGGCGTCCATATTGTGTCGTCGAAAGTCACGGTCGCCTTTTCCGAGAGAAGAGCGACGGATATCGAGTCGATGCCTGGTTGTGATCGGATCATGCGTTCTATCGTCTCGACGCAGGCTCCGCAGGTCATGCCGCCGATCTGGAAGGTGGCCGTCACCTTGGCGCCCGGAGTGGCTGCATTAGATCCCGATGCCAATGGCGTTGTCAGAAGCGGATCGTTGCTGGCCATGTTGGGAAGCGGCGGCGCGAAGATGCAGCTGAGGACGCGCTGCTTTATGGCGCGAGCTTGGAGGTCAAGCCCACGACTTGCCGAAAGGACGTTCGTAGGATGACTTTGCGAAAATGGTGATGTTGCGATCTGTCGGCAGCTAGTGCCAGGCGACCGATGATCGTGGCAAAGCAAAGAAGCAGCCTCGACCGTCCAAGAATGCCGCAGCAATGGGGCTGAGTTTGAGAAGGAAGAGCTTGAGAAAGAGCGGTGGCGCGTTCGGCTGTACCGACGACCTCTCGATCCGTCACGTCGGCAGCTCCGATCCGCAAGACGCCCTTGACGAGCTCGATCAGTAAGGCTTGGGAGCCTGACCTTGTCTGAACTTGTTGATGCTGTGCGAAAGGTAGGTGGGGAGGGTGGGGACAGGAAGCAGGAAGCCGAGCACCCAAAAAGACGCGGGTGTGCAATTCCGGCGACACGGATCAGCGACTTTGAGCTGGTGGAGGCGTAGCCGAGGCGTGCGGCCTCATTCCCGCAGGCCCATCTCGGCACACAGTCCCGTACCTGTCCGACCTCGGATGCTTTTTCTTTCCTTTCTTTCTTTCTCTTTGCTGCCTGACTGTGCGGCTGACAGTCATCAAAGGCTATTCGGGGGGATATCGCACGTTCTCGCTCTTGGTTGTGGGCGAGGGCAGAGCCAATCGCTGTTGCTCAACGCTCCACGCTCCGAGGAGGGCGACGCGATCTCATCTGATACGCACCCTCGTCTCACGCCGTGCCAGCTCAGCCGAGTCTAAACTCCGAAGCCAAAATATCACACTCAAAATCCCTTTGAAAGGATTTTTACGTTGACTTAGTTCGAAGGATGTAACATGTGTGAGTCTGTGCTTTTGCCTCCGATCTGACAAGCTCTAATCCGGGGCACGCGGAGCTTGTCGGGTGATGTGGCCGAGGCAAGCTCAAAAATTTCGCCTCACCAAAGTTTGTACTTTGTTTGCTCCCACGCAGTGCAGAGGTGCAGCTGCCTGCATGGACCTCTGTTCGCGGGCGGCTAGAAGAACACTGCTGAGTTGGACGGGGACCTGATTCAGACAGCAGATGTCGGCGCAACCGCTCCGCTGGAACAGAACTTTCGCATGACCTGCATGGGAAGACCAGATAGAGTACAGTAGAGTACGGAGACTTCCCTCTCCGACGTGCGCACGGGTCGCTGGAGTGGCAACGTGCGGTGTTTTGTTGACCGAGACACATACGAGTCTAGCCAGCGAAGGTGGTTGCGGAAGCACTCGCTCCGCGTTTCTCTGTCGCTGCCTCGATGTCGGATGTCGTCGGGACAGGTGTGTCGGCGCGACTTTGACCGTACAGATCATATCTACGCGCGTCTCTGCTGCCGCGGCGAGGTCGATGCAGGGTAAGGCCGGACCAGAGCCGCTTGCAGAACAATAGACTTGACTAGGCAACGGCGTCTCTGGCGGAGGAACTTGCTGCAAGTGCAAACGAAGTCGGTCGAACCGGAAGAGCAGATGCAGGGTCTTGCCGTGCGGTCCAATGCCAATGCTCAACATAGGCATGAATCGCAGCCGACAGTCGGCAGTCATCCGTTAGCCGTCAATCGTCGACATCTCGAATTGAAGCGGCCCTCTACCGCACCCTGTTGGGGCGATCTGGTGAATGTTATCGATCCCACATCGTTACGATGATCCCCACACGGTAGCACGACCATCGCTCGGTTGGCTGAACTTGACGAGCTCTCCCACATGTGTACTCACGGTGGTGGCGCGGCTCATCTTGGTTGCAGCTGGACAGCCTCGGCAAGCGCGCCGAAAGCACTGTATCGGTGGAGCCGAGGTGGGAGCATGTCCACGGAGGGCGAGGCTGAGGAGGATCACCCGAACTGCCGATGCTTAGCAGCATTCATGCCTGGCTCAACGGAAAAAAGTGGCAGCAGAGGCGGCCACGGCAGAGACCGCGGCGACGTCGGCGGACCGAGTCGGACCGCGTGCGAAAACCCGAAAAGCGAAGAGATGTCGCGCGCGTTTCGCTGCGGCTGCCAAGGCTGCAACCCTCTGGCGCGCCAGTTTGAGACTGTGGCAGCGGCAGTGCTGCCAAGCCGCTTGGGACGACCCTCTTCACCACGCCAAGCTCGTTAGGCTGTGTTGCACGCATGGGATCCCGATGCCCCGCCGAAGCGCGACCGGTGCCGCCGAGACTTTCAGAGTGTCCGACTTTCCCAAGAGTAGTCTGAGGCTGGTGGCGGTCATGAGTGGCATGCTATATTGTGCTGTAGCAGTCCCAGATGTGGTTCAAGCTGCACAGCTAAGGGGGAGAGGGTCGGAGAGAATGCCAATACGGTTGCCAGCCGCTCTCAGCCGCTCCCTGCCGCGGCAGAATTGGAAGGGCAAAGGGCATCCGCAACAATGCCGCTCGTCCGTCGCGGTATTAATAACAATGGCCGGAACGGCAGGAAATCCGAAGACGTGGGAGAGAAGGTATTAATAAAATGATTGTAATAAAAAAAATGAACTCCACCGGCAGCCAGATTCGGTCAGCGAGTCACTCTGCCAAAAAGCCAAGCAAAGTGGATCAGGGTTTGTGCTGACCTATCCCGCGCGGTCCTACCGCCCAATACCCGCGGTCTCTGGTCGGCTCATCCGCCGCACAGCGAGACCAGCGTACGGCAAATTGTAAAGCAATTCCCAACCGTTTCCGTTTTAGGAGCTGTCATAGGGTAATGGAATGCGTGATGTATGACCTGGCATCGTCACAATGGAGTCGCCGCCGTCATCGCCCCGAGACCCAACTGGAATGCCACCTTGGTCGGAGTGACGACGGGATGGAAAGCTCAGATCTTTGCTCATGCGATCTCCACGGCGGCTGGCCTGGGAATGCAGGGCAGGCGAGATTCGCGCTCTATTGTCGGAGTTGGGCCATGCGGCGACGACGCTCCGAAGGCTCTCTCGGTGGGTGACTCCGCGACGGATTTCGGATCCACTGCACGACGGGGGCGCGGATGCAGCTCCGCACGGAAATCAGCTCCGCTGGGCGAAAAGGAAACAACGTCTTTTCCTGCGTTTGTCACCGAGCTCAATTCGCCTAATCCCCCGAAAAATACTGCCTGATCTCGGAGTTTGTTCTGCCTGTTTTTTTTTGTTTTTTTTTTCGCTGCTTTTGTTTCCCAACCTCGCGATCCCGGGCCGCCGAGGTGGAGGTGACAGAAATGGAAAAAGAAAAGAAATTTTTTTAGTCGGACACGGCTGCCAAGCGTCGAGTTGATTGCAGCGCGACATCGCCGCATCGCCGCATCGCAGCATCGCAGCGGGAATCATGCGGATGCGGCTCCCAACCGGGCGTCCGTGGAAGCGCGGCGTTATGCTTAACGAAGCTGCGGGCTGCGAGCGGTCATCGTTGCTGAGCTGACCCTCGCTCTCACACCTCCAGTCTCACCTTGTCTCCGAGCAAGCTCCGGCTGGCTGACTGCTCCGGCCTTCGCTCATCCGCCAGATCGCTTCTGACTCGGCATCTACCGTGGGCAACGCTTGGCACTCTCGCCCGGCCGCCGCAGATCATCCGGCACTCATGGTTGGGCCGTGGCGCCGCCTTTGCAGCGTATGCAATGCACTCCGCCGTCGCATGGCTGAGCAAACCGGCTCCATGTGGCTCTCCCTCGTCGTACCTCTGCCAAAAGGTTTCCGTCCAACTACATATACCCACCTCTCTTCCGGCAACCTTGTCCCCCCGCAATCGAAGCCAGACCCTACATCCTTCCGCGTCCATCCTATCCCGCACTCGCCTCCATCGAAACATCGCCGCCCTCATCCAAGGCATCACCGCTTCTGTCTATTCGCCTCGGGTGCAATGTGTTTGCGTCTCACCTCTTCATTCTCAGAACATCGACTACAAGCATCACAGCACGCCAATACATAGACAGACGCATCCGGGTCGACAGCCTACCCCTACTCTGCTTCACTTGGACCACATTTCAGTCGCCGAGATGAAGCTGGACCACAACCCGTTCGGCGCCCTGCGCGCCAAGTCGCGCTCGTTACGGCGCAAGAACGACCGCACGCGCATCTACGCCTCGTCTACGGTCGCATGCGACGGAGGCATGGTATCGCCCAAGCTTGCCCACGGACGTCTGTCGCACGAGGATCTCACGGCGCATGGAGCGTCACGCACCTCGAGCGTGGATAGCTTTGGACTGAGTCACCACACGCATCTGCACCACGCCGACCTCGCCACCAACAGCGCGGTGCTGCTGGGCGACGACAAGGAGCTGCACGACCCCAACTTTGTGCGCCACAACTGGGAGATGATGACGGGCGAAGCGTTGCCGGACAACCAGCTGCATATCGGGCGGTCGGCATCGCCGCGTCTGACGAGTCGACGCAGCACGTTCTCGTCGCGCACCAACAGCTCGCGGCCGTCTTCGCGCTCGGGAAGCGAGACGGGCGGACACCACACGCCGGCATTCGGTCTGGGCGTGAGTGCCTTTTCGGGCCTTTCGAGCTACTCGCAAGCGGGCCGGAGCAGCACGCGCTCTTCGTCTTCACGCGGCTTGCAGGTGGAGGGATCCATCCTGCGCGATGAAGAAGCCATGTTGAGCGACGACGACAGCAGCGACGACGATGAATTCAGGGACGACATGTTTCCCGCCTACCGCCTGCCGACGTCGCGACGCACGAGTCCGAGCCAGCTGGCTCCGCCCTCGCCGCGGACGCTGCTGCACGCCTCGCTGTCCGGAAGCAGCAAACCGCCTTCACCCGTGCCATCGCACGCCGCCTCGATGGAACAGCAGCAGGCCGCTGCCGCTTTCCACCGTCGCCGACACTGGACCGTCGCCGAGGGCAGTCAGGCGTACTACGGCCCCAGCGCCCCACACGTTCTCAACGCCAACTCGAACAAGTTCAAAGAGCGCAGCTTCTCCCAACCCGCCTAGACCATTGCTTTTTCCTCTCTTTGTTTTTGCATCGCATCTGCTTGTACTTGTACCTACTGTGTTACACTAATGATACCCAGCGACGAAAAGTCGCACCCCACCTTTCGGAAACGTCGTCTGAAAAAGTGAGGATTGCCTCGAGAAAGCCTTGCCTGCGATTTCAGGCCGAGTCTCGGTCGCTTTCCGATGCTAGCAACCTTGGATCCGACCTATCCTTAAACGGATCTTGTTGGCTCGACAACCAATCGCCGCACCCTTGCAATCGGAAGTCAAAAAAAAAATTGTGGTATCGACAGTTGACTCGGCAAGGGCAAAGACCGTATGGATCGCATGCAAACACCGCCAGTGCACAAGCTCTCGAGCACCGAACTGCATCCGATCGTGCAGTTGTGGACCTAAGTTCCCTTGCAGCCATCTCGGACCTCGACGTCACACGTTCACTAGCCATGAGGCAATGTCGAGGGTCCAAACGGACTCCGGACAGCTTTTGTCAAGCCAACCGCCTATTGCTCCTTGTCTTTGTGTGGATCGAATGAAAAGTTGGGCATTACCAAGTTGCATGTATAAGGTTTTGCAGCCGCACGACGATCGGACAAAGTGCCAAGGATGGGTTGGCGCAGTCGATGATCCCTCGGCTCTACAGCTTGGTATGGTGGCTTGACAGAAAAGGCTGGCGTGGCGCCATGGAGTTGAGCCGAGGTTGTGTAGCGCGCGGAGATCTGCACACGATAAGCCACAGATAGGAGCACTGCAAGACGACGCAATGCACTTTGGCGTGGGGTTGTCGGAACGGTGGGCAAGATGGCAAGCACCCGATGCCCCAACGGTATGACGCAAGAGTTGCTGCAGGCTCGCGCAGCCGATGTTTGCCGCCTCGTGGCGTGGGGCGACCAGGGATGCGTGGGAGCAGCGGCTCGGAAATCGGACACAAACGAAGCTCCGATGGCCGATGCGAATGCGATACGCCATCATGGCCCCGAGCTTTAGATAGCAGACCGCCTCACCATCTGCAAAGAAGAGGAGAGACAAGACAAGCAAACATCGAGAGCAATGGAAGGCGCCTCTTTTCATGCCCCTGCCATTCCAGATGAGGCTTTGCTTGCTCGCTTGCTGGGATTGCTCGACAGGACGAGGTGGGGCCAATCGAGGAGAGCGTATTTGGCAGGCCTCAGGGCGCTGGTTGTCTCAGTGCAGCTGCCAGGCACACATACGCACAAGGCCTGGGGGTGAGGCAAAAAGGGCAGATGTACCTCGACATCCGAGCAACCGCCTTGGCTCCCACGGGAGCGCTGGATGAGAGCCGCGGGTCAGATTGCCTCGGCTGCAGAATCCATCCCCACAAAACCTCCACCTTTTGGACACTGGCCATGCACTGGGCTGTCAAACCAATGGGTTGAGCCGTGGGTACTCACTCGGAGCCCAACCGTGCGGCCGTCTCTTTGCGATTTGGCACCGTGAGAGAGCGCAGGGCGAGTCCGCAAGGGGATCGAGATTGGCTCGATCGAGCATCCCGGCAGTTTATCGGCGCCAAACCAAAAAACGATCCAAATGCAGGCAGTTGGAGCGACGGCGTGACAGCTGCCTTGTCGGCGTGCAGATGCAGCTGATGCATCCATCCACGCTACTCTGCGCATGTGGGGTGAGCTTCTTGGCAGTCCCCACTGCGGCGGTACCGTTACGCCCTTGCCGGCGACGCCGATGGAAGAGTCACCGTCGCATCGTGTGTGCAGACGCATCGTCGGATCTTGAGATCTCTCAGCTGAGGCAGGAAGAGTGAGAGCGTAGCCCAACGGCCCTAGCGAGGGAGGGATGCATGGGTGTGGGCAGAGCCAACGGAGCAAGTTCGGATCACGGACCGTTGGTGGTGCAGTGTGTATATGCAGATGAGAGATATTCTGCCGTGTGATTGTGAGCAAGCAAGCGGGGGCTGCCAATCTCGGCTGTCTTCCGGTGCAAAACCTCGCGCTGGGCTCGGTGCTTGCCTCTTGTCTCCCATCAATCTCTCTCTCTCTCTCTCGCTCTCGTTTTCGGCGTCGACGAGTGTTGAGCGTTGCAGCTTCCCGCCTCGGTCGTCCCGTTCTGCTGCACTTGCGGTCGACACGAAAAGGCGGCTGCGCGTGTGACCACGTTCGAGTGCGAACGGCGCCTCCGCTGTCACATTGCCGTTGTCCCGGCATTTGGCAGCTGCCGGCCTCTGGTGCCCTTGCCTTTCCTTCAAGGCAACCGCCTCTGCCTTCGATCCAGCTCGAGGTGCGATACGCTTCAGCCGATTAGCTTGCGCCAAACATCCGTCTGGCGTGGCACAAAACAAGCTCAGGAACCAGCACTGCCTCGGCTCATCTGGCGTCGCCTTTCTCGCCTTGATACCGACGCTGGTCTGCCCTTTCCGACAGGACAGGCGTTGATCTCGAGTGCGGGAGCCACTCTAGGCCTTAAAAGCCTGCATCGTTGGGGGACTCGCCGCCAATTCCCGGTCCAACCCAACACCATCCCTCGATACCACTGTAGCAACCGCCGCAAGCGCCGTTGCACAAGCACGCCACACTCCGAAACGCCTGTGCCTGACAGCTCGCTTCACGCTAGCCACGGCTTGCAGTCTAGACACCCACGCACCGTCTCTAGCGCACGCAGACTGGGTCGCAGGCAGAAGGCACAGCGAGACTCGTCAGACGGCGAGCGTGGCTCAGCTCCACATCGCGCGACCGCCCGTCCCGCCGTCGCAATCAGTCAGCCACCGTCGTCAATTGCGCACCCCACACTCGGCGGCGCGACCCCCCCGTGCCTCCAGCTACCGCAACTGAGCTCAGCTGGCCAGGTTCACACACAGCGTGGGGCGACACCACGCCGACGTCGCGTCAGCCAGGCTCACAAGCGCCTTCGCCCTCCCTCGAGAGCTTGCTCTTATTGTCCAGCCGGGCGTGAACTGAGCCGTCGTTGCGCAGCACCTCCTCGTCGTCACGGGCTCGAGCGTAATTAAGCGTTGCTTCGAACCTTCTCGCCACCCGCCGTCGCAATTGCTCAGCCACTGGCAGCATCAGCCGGCGTCTGCCTGGTAGCCTCACCCACGCTCCCCCGCGCGCACACCGCATACAGCCCCACCATCCTCCGCAGCGGTCCTAGCGGTGGTCTAGATCCAAGACCTCCGATCGACACCGCATAAAGCAAGCGAGCGCCCTCGCTGAGCTTCCCGATCGAAGTCGCTACGGCTCGCCGTTGCGGCATCGCACGCTCGTGCTCCGTGCTCCGTGCTCCGTCGGCGACCCGGTATTTGGACGCGTGGCCCGAAGAGGCTTCGTTGACGCAGGATCGTGTACACAAGTCGGCCCTCCGTCTGCGTGGGCGCGGTCGCTGCCAACAGCTTCATACGACTCAGCCTCCGACCCGGTCTCCGACTCCTTGCCGTCTCGCCATCGCTCGCAAGAGGTCTTGGCATTCTGACGACACCGAGAAGAACGCTGCTGCACAGCCATCTCCTCGAGCTGCTGGGCAAGATTGCTTGTGCACATCCTCCCTGTCGTCTCGTCGAAGCTGGCTTGGTGGTACAAGGTGCTTCACTGCGTTCGCCAGCCGTTCTGTTCAGGTTATAAAACCCCTGATCACTTCGTCCGAGCCTCTTGCTCCATCTCCTCTTTGGCTGCACAAGCACCATCCCCGGTCGGCACCACAGCATCGCCGCCATCCTTCACAACACAACCTCACTTGGCTCTGCCTCTGCAAGCATGACATCGATCTTTGCGTCCAAGTCGCTCGGGCGACGCCGTGGATCGGCGCAAACCGGCGAGCTCTCGGACTCGAGCGCATCGTCGCGCAACCACAGCATCTCGTCAAGAGACCGCTCCACATCGCTGGCGAGCTCGCAGATGGACGACTGGACCGACGGCTTCACGGGCATTGTGGACCTCGACCGCCAGATGCGCCAGCTCGCCATGGCCGAGCAAGGCCACGCCTCGCTTTGCGGATCGTCGGACCTGGACGTCTACGAGCCCTACTCGCCCTCTAGCTGGTTGGGTGAGCACGAGCAACGGCGACGCAAGAGCTCGTCGGATGCACGTCTGGCGAGTGGCTCGCAGTCGTCGCTCTCGACGCGCAGCATTCCGCCGTCGCCGCTGTCGCCGGCGCACACCACGGCGAGCACCTCGACCGCGGCGACGTCGCGCTTTTCCAACGACTCGCGCACGCACTCGTCGCTGCTCGCCAAGCGCCAGTCGTCCGGTGCGGTCGATTCGTTCGACGGCGCGCACAGCCCGCTCAGGCTCGCGCCGCTGCCGGCGTCGCCGTCGGCGTTTGGCAACTACCGCCTGACGGACTCGGCGCCATTGCGCAGCTCGGGTGTCTTCGACTCGCCCATCTGGTCCGGGAGCGAGGAGCAGGATCCGCTCACCCCGCTCGCGGTTTCGGCTCGTCAGCTCGCGCCCGTCACGCCAGGCACAGCTGCGGCGGCGACATGGACCGACCCCACCGCGCCGGGCTACTTCCCCGCAGGCCTCGCGGCGCGCAGCAAAAAGTCGCGCTCGCTGCGCAAGAAGACGGCCCGAGCTCCGCTGCCACGCCTGGTATCCGGCGAGGTGGTCTCATCCCCCACCGCCGAGTCCGAGTGTGCGCTCGAGGAGGCAGGCGCTCCCGTTCGCGGGGAAGACGAGGGCGTGACAGGGCTGGGATTCGTCCTCCCGAGCTCACAGCCACATGCGCCTTCGGGCACCCACGCCATCCGCAGGTCGGCACAGTCGCTCGCACTCAGCCTGCGCTTCAAGATGCTGCGAGCCAAACGCCGGGTGCGCCGTACCGGTCTCGAGGCCGCCGAGCTCTTTACGCCGCAATCGTCGCGGCGCAGCTCGCTCGACACCAGCCGCGCCCTCTGATGAACCTTGCTCGCATCTGCCTCATTCCCCTGTATCCCTAGTATTATTGTCATTGGTATCATCGCTTTGTCGCGACGAGTGTGGTTGGTGTCCAGTCTAGTAGCCGAGAAGCAGGCGGCGGAGGCGCTTGGTATCCTGTCGACGCTGGTTTCGGAAGGTGGGCATGATGGACCAGCCCTCGCTTTTGGCAAGGACTGGTTGGTTGCTCTGAGTCTCGGGAACCTGCGTCTCCTCATCATCGCCTTTCTGGGCGAGCTCTTTTGGCAGGAGGGCGAGCAGGGCGTTTTGGTACGCCGTGTCGGAGGGATATCCCAAGTCGGTGGTCGAGTTCGCACCCTGCTTGGGTGCAGTTGAGCTTGACGTCCACTTGTCCGGATCTGTCGAAGGGATGCTGGGGTCTAGACTGGGAAGTGCCGAGTGCGGGTGTGGATCGATGTGGCCGGACCAGGCTGCGGCGACGATACGCGCCTGGACATGGGTGAGCGGCATGGGTACGATACGGATCGGTGCGCCCAGTACGCAGATCGAAGCGTCCGCAGCGTAGAACAGGCTCCAGTCGTCGAGATTCGTCAGCTTGGAGCTCGTTCGAAAGAGAGGATCATACACCTCCCCTCCTACCTGCTGTGGTGGTGTTGAAGGTGGTCTGGGAATAAGTGGATGTGAATCGAATGGTGCGGCTTCCTGGTCGAGGTAGGGAAAGTCGTACGCGTAGCCGGTGCCAAAGATGATCGTGTCGACATCATCGCGTGTCTCTCCATCCTCGAAGACGATCTTACTCCCCCCTGCCTGAGTGGGCTCGATGTGGTCGATTCGTGGGACGACGGTGATGCGTTTCGCCCAGTCGGGCGAATCTGTGCTGCGAGGATCGTAGTCGAGTGGCGGTGGTGCGTCGAACTTTTCATACGAGTGCAGAATCCGTGGTGGATCGTGGTCGCACCGCGCCATGTAGTTGCGAGTCGCAGTGTCGCCCTCGGGGAGGCTTCGGAGGATGTATCCTGCCAGCTCGCGCGCGATGTCTGAGCCGGAAGACGAGTTGCCCACCACCAACACCGTGCGTCCTGCGAAGGGAACGGGTGATCGCCACCATGCCGAGTGCATCACGGTGCCTCGGAAATCCCACAGCCCTTTCACAAAGGGTATGCTCGGTGTATTGCACCTCCCACTCGCCAGGACCACGCAATCGAACTCTTCATCCCGCTCTTTACCGGTGGTGGTGTCGATTGATTGGATCGCCCACTTGCTCCCTGCACCGATGCTTTGCGACGCTGCAGCTGGATCGTGCGACATGCGGTGAACAGACTTGACGGCGGTCGCAAGTCTCATGTCGATGGGTTCGAGCGTGTTGGCGAAATCGACAATGTACTTCTCCACCGTTGCGCGGGATGGGAAGAGCGGTGTTTGTGGGGGGTAGGGGTGGGAACGGTACGTCATGATGTCGCACGGCAAGTTGGTGCGCAGACCATCGTACATCGGCCCAGGCGGACAGAAGCGTCCCGAATCATCGCCGTCTTTGCGCCCGCCCCACAGTGCATGTGCACGACCGTGACGGTCGAATCGCACATCGCAGTCGCCCGGATCAGCATCGTACGTCCATACCCCTCCGAATGCCGTGCGGCGCTCGAACAAGGTCACCGAAAAAGCGGGGACACGCGCGTTGATGGCCGCAAGCTGATCCGCCATCGACAGCCCAGCTGGACCGCCTCCGATGATGGCCACCCGTCGCATCCTGCCAAAGCCAGCCATACAGTTGGCTCCCGCGGAAAAGCCTTCGTACACCGTCCGGTGGAAGATATCGTGAAAGTGTGGTCGGGGTGAGAGGGGCGCCGAGGAAGATTCAAGGGATCACGTCAGATGCGAGAACTCGACCCCAGCCCGAGGTGGAGGCCGACAGCTCGCTGCCGAATATCGCACGCGCTGCACTGGCATTTCTTCTCGAGCAGAAATGAGGCTCACCGTCGATAACCGCCTCTGGTATGCACTTTCAAGCCCCATCCTCACTCTCATTGACCCAACATCGCTTCAATGACACGACTCGTGCATTCAAAGCGTACTGCTAATACGACGGCTGCTTAGTTGAAGACCACCGTCTTGGCGCCGTTGAGCAGGACCCTCCTTTCGGCGGTCCACTTGACCGCCCTGGCGAGCACACGCGCCTCGACATCCGAACCGGCCTGGACGAGGTCAGCAGGCGTCATGGCGTGGTCGACGCGCTCGACGGCCTGCTCGATAATGGGGCCCTCGTCAAGGTCGGCGGTGACAAAGTGCGCCGTAGCACCGATGAGCTTCACGCCGCGCTCGAACGCCTGATGATAAGGCTTTGCGCCCTTGAAGCTGGGGAGGAAGCTGTGGTGGATGTTGATGATGCGACCGCTGAAGAGGCTGCACAGCTGCGGGCTGAGGATCTGCATGTAGCGCGCGAGCACGATCATGTCGATGTCGTACTGCTTTGCGAGCTTGACCATCTCTGCCTCCTGCCACTCCTTTGTCTTTCCCTCGGCGGCGTTGATGGGGAGGTGGTAGAAGGGGATGCCGTTGGCGCGGGCGAGCGGCTCGTAGTCGGCGTGGTTGGAGATGATGAGCGGCACGGTGATGGGGAGCGTGTTGTTCGAGAGGCGGAAGAGGAGGTCGTTGAGGCAGTGGCCGATCTTGGAGACCATGATGAGCGTGCGCGGTTTTTCTTCGGCGCCAAAGATCTTGACCGACACCTCGGCGGCGGTGGCGAACTCCTCCTCGAACTCGGCCTTGACCTTGGCGAGGAACGCCTGGCGGTTCTGCGCGTAGTCGGATGCCTTGGGGTCCGGGTGCGAGCCGTTGTCCGGCTCTGGCTCCGATGCGTGCACGCGCATGAAGAAGGTGCCCGTCGTGGGGTCGCCGAATTGCGCCGAGTCCATGATGTTCATGTTTCGCCGCGCGAGGAAGCCCGAGATGCGGTGGACGATGCCGGGTCCATCGGGTCCCGAGAGCGTGAGGATGATCGAGGGAGGCGGGAGTGCCGAGGCAGGCTGCTTGGGTCGGATCTTGGAGGGGAGGATCGAGTGCGAGCCGGCAGCGGCGGCGGCGGTCTGCTGAGGCGTCGTCATGCTTTCGAGATCGGCGAGCGAGCGCAGGCCGCGGGTCGAGATGGCGACGGCGGGAGATGCGAACGACTGGCGTCCGAGACGGAGCGAGTTGAAGCTGGTGGGGACGGGGAGCGTGGTCCTGGCCGATGCGAGAGCAGAAGAAGCGAGCTTCGATCCGACGAGGTTGAACATCGAAGGCGCCCGAAAATAGGGAGCAAAGGGTCGACGGATCCTGTTGAGAGGAAGAGTCAGGCCAGCGTGGGAGAGGCGCAGAGGTGACAGCTTGGATGTGATGGGAGCAAAGACAAGCTGGTCGGCTCCTCCGAACGGTGGGTGAGAGTTGCAACGCGCTTCCTCCTGGCCAAAAAAAAAGGGCATTTCTTCCTTCTCGCCTGGATTTCCCGCGGCCCAGTGACTTGGGAGCGCGCCGCTGCTGCCCAAGCGCCAAGTCGAGTCGGGGATCAGCCGAGCGAGTGAAGCGGCGAGATTAGATTGATCAGTTGATCATTTGAATCTGATCATGCACACTTCTCACCAGAGCCTAGCTGCTCATCGCTCCGAACCAACCAGATGGCTTGGCTGCTTTTCTGTTTCCTCCGACCATGCTGTGCCGAGTCACAAAGCCCGGCGAGTCCGGCCTGCTTGCCGTGCTCTCCGATCGGAACCACCGAGAGTGCCACTTGCATGCTCAGCTTGCCCGTAAGCATCTCTCCCGGCCAGAGCTCGTGGATCAGCTCGCGGGGCGTGAGGGAGCGGAGGGTGTCAGAAAATTCGCCGCGGGTTCGGGCTGACCGGCCGATCTGCCCGCGTCCCCGGCCTTCCCGTCGTCTCACCTGCTCTGCTCAACCAGGCATCCTTTCCCGGCAGCTCCTCCGTGATGCAGACCCACGCGCCATGGCAGTAGGTCGCGACCCGCAAGGCGCCTATCCCGCTCGTTCCGTGTTCTGCAAGCGCTGGGTGATGCAGCCAGCTCGAGTGGAAAACAATGCTGTGTCACGCTGACTAAGCAACAAGGTTCGGACGTGCTCCACATCCGCCGAAAGTCACGCCTCGCGAAAGCACGGCCCCACCACCGCTATCTCGGGCTTGCTACGGTACCGCTACACCGACCACCTTTCGCAAACGACGCCAGCGTTATCGTTCCCGCAGAGGTCTGGCTCCTGCCATACACACACTCCCACCATGAAGCGCAAGGTGCGTGATCCCCAGCAATCCCAAGGAACCAATGATGATCGACTGACAATGCTGCGATTTGCTTACAGGTGCTGCTGATGGGCCAATCGGGCTGCGGCAAGACGAGCATGCGTTCGCTCATCTTTTCGTCCTACCGAGCTGCAGACACGCGGCGGCTGGGGTCGACACTGGATGTGGAGCACTCGCACGTGCGCTTCCTCGGCAATCTCGTGCTCAACCTGTGGGACTGCGGAGGGCAGCAGTCGTACATGGACTCGTATCTGGACAAGCAGCGTTCGCAGGTGTTCTCCACCGTGGGCGTGTTGATCTACGTATTCGACCTGGTCGGTGCCGAGGGGGGCGAAGAGGGGCTCGAGGAATGGGAGCGCGATCTGCGCTACTACAAGGACTGCATCTCGGCGCTCTACCAGTACTCGCCCGATGCGCAGGTGTTCTGTCTGCTGCACAAGATGGACCTGGTCGACAAGAGCCGACGCGCGTCGGTGTATTCGAGTCGAGTCAAGGAGCTGCGCAGGAAGAGCAGGGAGGTAGCCCAGGCGGCTGCGAATGCTAGGGCGGCACCAGATGGCTTTCGCGTCCACTGCTTTGCCACGAGCATTTGGGACGAAAGCTTGTATCGCGCCTGGAGTCGGATTGTGCAGACGCAGATTCCGGCACTGGGTGTGTTGGAGCGTCATCTGCAGCAGCTGGCGGATACGTGTTCGGCGAGCGAGGTGGTGGTGTTTGAACGAACCACGTTTCTGGTCATTGCCAAGACCGCATCCAGCTCCGCCGCACCCCTGTCGTCATCGTTCAACAAGGACTCGATCCAACCCACTTCGGCAGGTCGATACGTCTATGACGAGGACGAAGAAGGCCTCGAAGGGTTCAGAGATACGCAGGGGAGGGTGGCATCTACACCGCTCGGCTCGGGCTTTATCACATCGTCCACCCACCCTGCTGCCCATTCGGAAGCGATGGCTTTTGGAACCAGAGCAGGCGGCTTGGATCCAGAACGCTTCGAAAAGGTGTCGGAGCTCATCAAGAACTTCAAGCTGTCGTGTCAGAAGCTACCCGCCAAATCGAGCCAGTGCGAGTTTCAGGCGGTCGAACTCAAGGCACCCAACTTTAGCGCGTACATCGACAGCTTAACCTCCAACACGTACATCATGCTGCTCGTGCGTGATCCTTCCATCCAGATGGCAAGCATCAAGCTCAACGTCCAACTTGCACGCGACCACTTTGAACGCCTCCAGGCCATCAACCTTCGCTCCTAGCACACATACCCACCCGCCTTCTCTCTCGTTCGAATCGCATTCACAGACATGGTTTAGCATGCGGAAGTGGGAGTGTGCGCATTGCAGGCGGTCAGGGCGCAGGCTCGCGCTTGAGAATCTGCAGCTTGGGCTGGGAAGCAGGCGCAGTTGCGGTGGATGCAGACGGCGGCTTGGTGGATGCTTTGGCGCCACCCTTGCGACGGGGAGGTTTTTTGCGCGTCGAACCGTCGCCCTCAGCAACGCCAGCATCGGCATTGTCCTCGGCTGCCGGAGCTTTGACGTCGGGCTTCTTCTTGGCTGGTCGTCCGCCAGCTTGCTTGGGGTTCCTGGCCGGTGTTGCCGTCGCAGTGTTGGGCGCGTCCTTGGCCGGATTGCCCTGCTTCTTGGCGCTCTCGGGCTTGGTGGTGGCTCTTGGCGCAGTATCTGTGTTGGCGGCATTGGCATCGACGCCGTCGGCTCGGCCCTTGCCCTTGCGCTGTCGGCCCTTCTTTTCGCGCTTGGACGGCTCCTTGCTGGCTGCCTCGATCTCCTTGCCGCCACCTACATGCGCAGCATCGATCGCAGCGAGCTTTTCCTTTGTCCGATGCCTCTTCCCCTTCTTGGCCTTCTTGTTGGCCGGCTCGGCGGGCTGCGTCGCCGTCGCTGCTGCTCCGTCCGCAGACCTGGCAGCCGCTTTGGCAGCGGCCCGCTCGGCCTTTTTGGCCTTCTTGGCGAGCGCGGCGGATTCGAGCTTGGCCTGCTTGACGGCGCGCAGATGCTCGAGCAGTGGCGTCGACTTGCCCGCCGCCGCTGCGGCCTCGCGCTCCCGTGCGCGCTCTCTGGGGTCGTACGTCGACGCGAGCAGGTCGCCCTCTGCCCTCTTGTCATCCTCGCCGGCCTTGGACAGGCGTTCGACGAATGCGAGATAGTCTGCGTCCGTCTCGATGGTGCCCTGCTTGGGGTCGGGCTTGCTGCGTCGACCGCGCGCGGGGACTACCTTTTGGTACGGTGCAAACTCGACAATCGCCACGGTCTCGCGCGCTTTGCTGTCGCGGAAGATGTGGCCGTCAAAGTGCTTGTGGAAGAGGACGAGGGCGTTTGCATCGAGGAAGCGCACGTACGCGCGTGCGTGCTTGTTCTGCTTGCTCGCGTCCGTCTTGAGCTTGCCCGGGATGAACTGCTTAAAGTCCACAGTGGGCGTGAGTGCCGACGCAGAAGACGTGGAAGCAGATGCTTCGCCGGATGCGCTGGTGAGAGAGTCGGATGCGGGTGGTTGACAGTCGGCAGCGTCACGGATCCACGGCGAGACGGCCTTCCAGAACACCGCCTCGGGCAGGTTGGGCGGCAGCCGTCGGATGACCACCTTGCTTTTGAAGTGCGTTGATGCCTTGGCCTGTCGCGTCGCCGCGGGCTTGGCAGCATCCCTCCTGGCGGGTTTCTTGGACGGCTGAGCCGATGCAGATGTGGGTGGAGCTTTTGGTGCGGGATGTTGGCCATCTTGATCCGATGCAGATGGCTTTTGGGTGCGGTTGTTGGCTGCTCGTTCTCGATTCTGCTGCGCGCGCGCGCGATTGTCGGCCGCCTTCTGTTCATTGGCAGCCTGCTTGGCCCTTGGAGGCTGCGTGTCGGCGAGAGACGCCGGAGTTTCCGACGGCGACATGGTGGACACGCACGGCCAGCGCAGTTGCGGTCGCAGTGCTGGTGGTCGAGGGCGAAGAGCGTAAAGATGGATCGCGCGCTGCTCAGGGTCCAAGCAGGTGGGGGAGCTTGAGCACCCACGCCTGCTCTGCGCGAGAATAATTTCGGCGCTCGGAAGTGCCGCCAAGTCATGTGGAGCAGATGAAGCCACCTTCAGACCGTCGGAACATCCGCCCTTTCCCACCACGATTAGTCACCCACTCTCTACATATTCACGACCATGCCCCCTCGCCGCACCCGAGCAGCCGTGAAGGCGGAGTCGCCCGAGCCCGAGCCCGAGCCCGCCGCGCCAGCCTCGCCATCAGAACCATCAGAACCATCCGCTGGCCCAAGCAACGACGCATCTGCGTCCACGAGCAAAGGCAAGAGCAAGGCACGAGCTGCACGTCACCAGCCGCTCGTCGCCGAATCCGCGCCCTCTCCGCAGCCTGAAGTAGACGAAGCAAAGGTGTCCATGGCGGACCGGCAGGCGCGCTTGACGGCGCTGCGAGCGCGGATGGCAGCGTCGACCAAAGCCAACCGACGCGACATTCTCTCGGAGCAATCGCGCGCGCGTGCGGTGGCTGCCGAGATGCGCGGCCCGTCTGCATCACGCAAGCTGCAAAAAGCGGAAAAGGTGCTGGAGGAGCGCGACCTTCGCGAATCAGGAGAGGACGTGGAGCGACATCGGAACATGCAGTACTCGCTCGAAGACTCGGAGCGCTGGGATGCCAAGCAGGAGCAAAAGCAGAAGCGCATCGATCAAGGCCAGGCGGACTTTGGTGATGCGGCCGAAAAAGCGTACCAGCGCCAGCTGAGGTCGCTCAAACCGGACGTGGCTGCGTACAAGCAGCAGCGCGATGCAGATCAGAGCGCACGAAAGGCGACCGGCAAAGCAGTGGTGCTTGGAGGCGATGAGATCTACTATGGCGATCACAGGCCTTCGGACGATGCACTGGATAGGGTCGTTTCGCATCTGAACAAGGAGCGAGAGCTGATTCAGAATAGGAGCAGACGGAGGCAGGATGCGGACGACGACCAGGTCAACTACATCAACGACGACAACAAGCACTTTAACAAGAAGCTCAAGCGCTTCTACGATAAGCAGACGCAGGAGATCAGGGAGAATCGTAAGTTTCGCACTGCAGTATCGATGCGCCGGAAGCTTTTGCTGATCCTCTGCGAGTTTTTGTGTCGCAACAGTCGAGAGAGGTACCGCGCTATGATCGCACGCAGGCGCGGTGTCGGACATGCTTGCACTGCTGTGCGGGCGCATGGTCAACTTCAAGTGGCGCTACGACTAGACCCGTCACGGATGCACGTTGATACACCGCTTGGACACCGGCGATTCGTTTTCGGTGCGAGTCAAGATCGCACCACCAGCACGGATGCGGTCCAAGCTGCGGTGCAACATAGCTGGCACGCGCTGTGCCGACGTGCACGCTGTCGTTGGTGGCAAGCAGGATGCAAGGGACGACTCGACGTGGCATCATGTCTTGCTGCCCTGCTGCATGTTTTGGCCTCGCAAAGGGGCGTCGCAAGGCGATCACACAGACGATTCGACCGGGAACGCGCTGTGGCCGCGTCAACGCCGACGCGTACTTGACGAGTAGCAGTGGAACCGCAATGTAACAACAGATCCAATTCACCATGGCTGCTCGCGTACAGGCAAGCGTTGGCACGATGTGCACGTTGCCGTTGTAGCTGAGCAGGCCCGCCCAACTAGACACTCGATTTACACAAGGTTGACGAGTAGTGGTGGTGTGCCGTGAGTCGAAGCATGAGCTGCACTGCGTCGAAAACCGATTCAGCTTGCTTGGCCACTCGAATGCAGTAACAGACAGGCAAGCCCGGACAGTTGACATTGGAGTTGCCCCGCCACGACGCAGACGCCTCATGGACGGAAAGCGACGATCGACGTGCGCTCGCGTACAGTAAACGGAGCGGGGCAAGTCCATGCTTGACTCATGATCGGCAGATTGGCCGTATTCAAACGGGCTGGTGTGTGATCTATACATGCGTGTCGTGGCGTGTCGCTGTGGAGACATCGACGTCGCTGCGACAGTAAATCCATCCGCATTGGCTGCTCCCAAACAGACACGGGCCAACGGAACGTCGTAGCTTGCAAGTAGAGCCGCCCCATTAAGGCATTTGGCAGACAGAATCCAGCGAGCAGTGATGGTGTACCGCACCCGAGGCCTGCTTACTCTCAAAACAAGACTCGGACAACAGACACGCTTCGTGGCAATGTGCATGCTTGATACATTACTGGCATTGCAGAGTGCATAAGTAGCACGAGGACATTTTGGCGGCGTCTCCTTTGTTGAGCTATGACGGGGACGCGAGCAAATCACTTAGCAGCGGGCGTTGAGTCGCTGCCTGCTCGCAGATAGACACGCATCCGGCTTAGGCTGATGACCTTGGTTCAGTAGAGTTGCGTGTGAGATATACATGGGTGTCTAGGCGTCTCGCAGTCGAAAATGCGTCCGCGCCGCGGCGATGGAGGACACTCAGCTGATGCAGACAGGAAGCGAGAGGAACGATGCTTAATTCATCACCTGCATTGCAGAGTGGCCGCATTTCGCCCACCATCGACCTCATTGCGACGGAACCAGCTCAGCTTTTGACCGCTTCCTAACAGGCACACTGGGGAAAAGGTCATGCTTGGATCAGTACGAGCGTTGCCGAGTGTGCGAGATATACGTGAGTATGGTGGTGTGCCGCTGTGCATGATTCATTACTGACATTGCAGAGTGGACGCGAGCGGTGCGGCGCCGGGGGTGGCGCCGCTGAACAGCATTGTTTCGTCCGGCGGGGGGCCCAATGCCCCCGCCGAGGTCGTAGACGAGTTGGTCGGCGCTGCTCGGCAGCCCGACCAAGAGCGAGCGGTTGTCAAAGTCTCGCTGGACGTGCACGAGTCCGAGC